CCAGTGCAGACTTGCCTCTTGAATGTAGCATGAGGATATCTGCAGTACATTTCCTTTGTTTTGATAACAACTAATAAAGAATGGAGACAAACTAACACTTAGATGTCAAAAGTGATTTAAAAAAAAAAGAGGTAGGTTTTCAGGCTTACCAAATATGTAGTTCTGAAGGCGCTGGAGAATTAAAAGTGCAATATGATCAGTGAACCAGAAAGGGGAATGAAATGGGCAGTTAACAGACATATTGAGTCAAATGGAAAATGTTTACAAGCACAAACCTTTTCAAATAGAAAGTCATTCTTCGCAGGAGTGTAGCCTAGAAAAAGAAAGTAAGAATCAATTTTCAAAGAAATCCAGTGCTAACCTCATTAAAAGAAAGAAAGCCCACTCAATCTCTGTATATACCTAAAACTTTGGTTGTCAATTTTACTGGTCTCATTTCTTCACCAAACCTGCAAAGTAATGTACAGCTCGTATCAACAATTAGCTCATGTCTTCAATATGAAAATTAAAAACAAATAAACCCATCATGTGATACATGTTACTTTACTTTTTAATTCCTTGGTTAGGAACCATAAGCCACTCCGCTGCACAACACATAAGTGATTCTTTCATTAACTATCACTAAATTCAATCAAATTTCGCATCACAATCAGAGTAACAGACTAATAGAAATAGCAGTATTATTAAAAGTTATAGTTACCGATGTCATTTATATTCGGTATTGTAGCCGAGACAGCTAGAATACGAACATGAGCTAGAGGAGTGTTTTTCATTTCGGGACTGGAAGAGAGCATTTTGATTCGGCTAACGACAGCCTCCAAAGCTGCTCCACGAGGATCACTCAACAGATGAACTTCATCAATAATTACCAGTGCAATGTCACTGAAAAAGCTCAGGCCTCCATCTTTAATGCGATATCGAGTCACAGCATCAAACTTCTGGAGATATCACAATGTGCGCATCGATGAGTACAGAACATGATAGTCATGAAGTAACCAAAAGCATAGAAGATAAAAGAAGTGCCGTCAGCCTTACACCTCTGGAGTAGTAAGAATTATGTCAGCATCCACAATATCCTTATTGTTGTAGTACTCATTATCCCCTGTCAGCTCCAGACAAATGATTCCCCATGAACCAAACTTTTGGGTCCAATCCCTAAGTTTCTCTTGTACCAGAGCTTTAGAAGGTGCCACATAGATCTTTACAACACAAGAAAGAAGACAAAAAACTTGAGGCTATTGGAAGATATGCAACAGCTAGACAAGCATGATGTTTTGAGGAAAAGGGAGTGTACTAAAACTGATAACTGCAGTAAAGTGTGTTCCTAAACCAGGCTGAGAACTTGAAGCACCATTAAGTTGAATCCAAGTAGTAATTGGGGTGGAAATAAGTGGTGTTCTGCGTAGTAAGAATTTAAAAACAGAAGACCTCGAATTGAGTGTATTTATGTAACATACCGTCTTCAGAGATCCCTTGGCGTGTGCAAAGACACCCTCACTGGATATGAACCTTGAGAGAAGCCTCAAAATGCAAAGCTCAAAAAGCACTGTTTTCCCACTTCCAGTAGGTGCCGAAATAACCATGTTCACGTCCGAAAGGTAACAAGTAGGAAAGCATTCACTCTGCAATGAGTTAAAATATCTGCGCGAGCAAGGGAATGATATAACATACAGAGTATTTTAATTTTTAAAATTGCTTTTTGCTAGGAAAAAAACAACATTAGCCCAACAGTCCCTTGTTTGGTTTGCGGATTCAGAAGCGAAGAGAATGGGTGTATTTATTTAAATACTGCTGTATTTTATCCTCAACTTTAGAATGGTGGGAAAGAAAGTGAGTGAATGAAAAATTTTATAGAAATATACGTAGTAAGATTTGATTAAAGATCTAATCATGCTTCGTAGTTACTCCGTATTTTCTAGTCGATTTTAACATACAAATAGAGATACCAGATAATGACAAAATACCAAAGTGATCTTCCATTGGCGCCACCTGAGAAGGAGGTTGTTACTGACCAGCGCCTCAAACGAGGGCAACTGTTATTGTATCAGAATAGTCGATAGGTCAGTGTCATACTCGGTGCTATCACCTACAGTGGATGCTAATGTCCGTTGATGGTAGGAGAGATAGTGCCCGATACATACTAACACTATAACAGCGACTGACAACCAGGGGCGGATCTAGCATTGCCATCCAGCAGGGGCCAAAATTTAATTAAATAAGATATTCTGGAAATGTCAAAATGTAGTACTTAGTACAATAGGATGTCATTAAACAAAATTTATTTTTAGACATAAAATAAAATCGATTGCAAATAAATATAACAGGAATAATCGTTCAAAAAAATATAACATGAATAAGAATTTTTGACGATTAGAAAAAACACCTCAAGCCCGTACATATTGAACTAATTTTCACCTACCCGAATCAATAATTTGAACAAATTTATTTTTCATGCTAATATTCAAAAGCCTAAAAGCGTTCACAATATTAGTATCTAGCTCATTCACCGTTTGAGATTGGCGTTAAACTTGTAGTAATTGAACTTAGAAGACCAAGTTTAAGTCCTTTTATTCTTCCCAGGTGGAGAAAGAGATTTTATAAAAGAAAAATGAAATTTTTACACACTTAACTATCCCATTGAAAAGTTAAAAAAAAAATGCTCTACATGGGATTTGAACTCCTGACCTTCAAGCTATATGTGCAACTCCATTTCCAACTTGCAAGCATAGTATTCGTTTAAAAATTGGCTTTCTTTAGAATTATACCACTTCCTAACAACAAAATATGTAATATACTACATATATATACTACTAATTTTACTTTTTTCAGGTTGGGCCTAGGCCCTCCCTGGCCTAGAGCCAGATCCGCCCCTGCTGACAACTGCTACCGCTCAAACTTCTTAGTAAATAATTACTAGTGTAGACAGTGCTTGTACATATTTTGGCATCAAATACGCACAGATGACTGAGCAGAAATCGGCGCCAAATACACATAGATTGACTCGTATTCACAACTTTCCTACTTGCCATGCTCCTAGATGTACTCGTAGAAGTCAACTGAATTAAAAATAAACGTTCTGAAAAGAGAAACGGCAGGAAACACACACATATACACGATGGATGGGACGATTCGATATACCTGAAACTGAAAGCTGAGCGGAACAGAGCAGGCAAGTCCAGCACGGACTTCAACGAATGAGCATCCATTAGTCAAAACTCAAAACAACAGATGTTCCCCCAATCGGCCTTTATTCACGCTACAATACAAGTAGAACAATGAACCCGACTGAATGTAGACATGACATTATAAGTCTGTTATACAGGTACTGAAAGTCTGAAACCAGTAGAACATACCAATGCGAGCAAGCAGCTGAATCACAGGCGGTAGTTAAGATGTCAGGATATCTGAGCTTTAGCGGCTGAAGTCACGACGGAAAAATCAACTCCGGAGATAGTGTTCCGGTAAAGAGGAGAAGACTCAAAAGAGGATTATGCCGGCGGTGGGGATTGGAGAAAGTGCTGAAGAGGAGAGAGCAATCGGAGGGAAAGTTTGTTGGATTTCAAAATATTGCACATTCAGACATTCTCACATCGCTGCTCCATTTAAACGGCTAATGATAATTCAGTCCCGGTTCGCACCTTTGTTTGGCGGGCAAATATGCGCAAATTATACGGGAATATGCAGTAAATTTGTCATTATTTCAAAGTTGAATGAGATTAAAGGTAATAGTCGAATTAAGAATTAAAATAAGTTACACAGTACTGTATCAGTTAAATTAATACGGAGTATTAGTCAAATAGTAATGATTAAAAAAATAAAAACAATCAAATCCATGGTGGAGTAGAGGTTTTATTTTTGCCATTTTCCTTCTTTCATTGTTAAAACTATTGATAATAAAGTGACTGAACTTATTGTTTGTGTCGTTAAAAAAATTTCATACACAAAGCATCGGTTTTTGTGTCTTTCTTTTTGCAGAAATGACAATGTTTGTGACATAGAAATCAATGTTCGTGACACAGAAACCAATGACACATAAACCTATGTTTGTGACACAAAAATCGATGTTTGTGCACGGACATTAGTTGTCTGTGCTGGACAAAAAATGTAACTATAAATATTTTCATCTTTTTCAATGGAGTCAAAGACTCAATATTTTTGGCTTGGGAATATGATGGAATAAAACAAAATGACTCACTAAACTGTCTGTGATTCCTTTTTATGAAGTAACAGTTAATCTATGCAATTTTCAAAATAATCTGCACTATGGGTCATTCGGAAACAGTCTCCGTGTACTTTAATACAAAATGCGTGCATAGTCCAACGTGAAAAACTTTGTGACACTGAAGAAATGATGATGATCATAGTCAAATAATGCTAGCACACAAAACATCAGTTTTTGTGTCACAAACTGCACATGCAATTTTCATTTACAAATTTTCCATTTTATTTGTACACAGTACTACACACATAGAAATTGTATCATCTCCGATTTGTTTTCTCATTACTTTTAATTATAAATGTTATGGACGAATCCCTATGATTGTTCATTTCCAATTTGGGTTTCCGGCTATCATCTGTCTCTGGCGAATCTAAAACTGAAAGATGAAATGAAAACATGAAAAATAATGAAGATGAAGATGGCGAAGGGATTATTAAAGATGAAAATGGAAGGTGGGGGAAATGAAAGTGATGGAATGAAAAAAGAAAGAAGAGTGATGAGGGAAAGGAGGAACTATTGGGAGAAAGAGGAGGTGGGAAGTTAAGGGTGGAGTGAAGAGGGTAAAAGGTAAAAATATACGGTTTGTAAATGATGTGTACAAAGTCTGAGCAAAATAACTCATAAGCATATATCTGGCATCTAGTGAGCAATTATTCACAAAACAACAGAAACATGGCAGCAGGCAGGTACATACAGAGTCACATAACCGCAGAAACAAGGAGTTTCTCGAGCTGCAGTGAAGGGCACAAAGAGATTGAGAGGGAGCTCACAGCGCCATGGCTACCGACTTCAAATCTATTCCTATTATTGGTCAGAACTCAGAACTCTCCTTCTTCTTTAGAAAATTCATTTACTCTATCCAGCTGTTCTTGGCTTAATTTTAACAGTCTCTTTCTTCTCAGTGACGTAAATTGTGATGGTTAGACACTGAGTATTGTCCCATGACTCCTAGCTAATCAGCATCGTTTTGATTAATCAATTAATTATTTATCTTAAGTTTTATTGGAACACTTGTTAAAGGGAAAAAGAGACATACTTTTGATCTTAAATTGATAGACCATGGAGTCAGTAGCCCTTGTTTACTTCGAAAGGGTATATCTTTCCAAGTGGAAAGCATTTGATTTGAGCTTTTTTGTAATTAAAGGGTAAAAATAATTTAAGAAAACAGACTATTCATTCGAAATACTTAGATTTGGGGGAGTGAGTTTGGGAAGATCACATGACAACTCTACTTTCCCCCCTGCATCCCCAACAAATAACACACCAATCCTCCATTTTATCCTCTTTGCTCTGAAGTATTCCAATTAGACTAAGGGATATAAGTTTGTTTTTGGCTCAGAGGGTCATGATGAGTGATCTCCGGTCTCACGTTTCAAGAAAAATTCTATATAAAAATTTGTACTACAAGTCTACAACTCTATAAGGTTTTAAGGTGTTTGTTGTATTGTTTTAGGAGTGATTTTATTAAACCAATCACGTTATAAAAAACTAATATCAAGAAGCAGTAAATTGTACGGAGTAATTTTTAATTTGTGCGCGTTTTGTGTATTTGTCCACACTACCTTGTAACAAACTTACTTGTTTTTACTTCATTTTACGTGGAACAAATTTCTTAACTTACTCATTTTTCAAGCAACTTAAAGTAGTATTTTATCAAACTGCTATCCAAATGCTCAACAAAAAGTTGCTTTGAATCATGTTTCCAATGCACATATTTTTAAAACTACAGAACATGAGTTCAGTTGGTTGAATGCTGTTTCAATTTAATTTTGATCTGCTAATAGTTATTGTTTATTGTTTATAATGCACTATTTCAATATGAGACAGATGTAAGCCCACTTTTGGACAAATGGGATCATCCAAACATTTCTCAAGATCAGGGTGCGGCTGAAGTAATTAAACAATTAGATCAAGCTTGTAGAGAAGCTGGATTCTTTTATGTGGTAATTTTTCCTCCTGCTTTTATCTTGTTCCCCTTGTTGCGATATTATGGTGTACACTTATAGTTAATGTTTTTATAGTTTCTGCTTGGCAGAGCTTTCTAACACATGCATTATTAAGTTATAACAGAACTTTGAGCTCTGTTTGATGAAATATAAATGAGCTTAAGTTAAAGTTTTATTGTAAACTATATTTTAAAAGCTGTCCCTTATGGATATTCAAAAGCTTGGAATTTTATTAATTTATTCACACTAACTACCCTATTCACTGAGAAAAGCAACTTTATCTATCACTCATTCAAATTTTATTTTCTTTTTCAAATCCACAACTCATTTAACCCAACATTTTATATTTATTAAACATATTGCCTTAAATAGGAGTAAAAATATTTTGAAATTCTAAAATAGGAGTACTATGTTTACCCCCTAAATAGGAGTACTAATTTTACCCCCTAAATAGGAGTAATTACTATCATGATTGGAAAATGTTAGGAACCAGAGTAGAAGAGATGAAAATTGAAGTAGAATTGATAATGGAAAAGAGAAAGATACAGTAGAGACTGTTCGAGTCGTCTCAACACTCCCAGGCCTAATCCCAATCCAAATTCTGCCTACCTCTCTTTCCCCCTTCCTGCTCTTATTATACTCATCTCCTAAATGGGCCAGCCTTAGTTACTATGTTATTGGGCCTTGAAATCACTTATTGTACAATATCAAATACTTTCTATTATTCTTATCACTAGTATTGTCTAGGTCCCTATCATCACTCCCCCCTTTGGCAACCACCTTGTCCTCAAGGGTGGGAGGTAGGAAACAGCCCTGACCAACCGCTTCGTCCTCATCCTTGCGCCTCTTCCTTCCCAGTACCTCCCTGCTTGCTGCGCCATGAGCTTCAGTAGTGTCACTGCTAGTCCCCTAGATTGAGAGCCCTTGTCCTCCAACAATATTGCATGTCTTTCAGCTTTCAAACTATCCCTAAAAGGATGCTCCTCCCCGAACAACTCATACAGAACCTCATGTTCTACCAATTTGAACTCAGGATCCAAAACCTTTGCAGTTCCTTCTAATAGAGGTCGTATCACCAAGGAATAGTCAGGATGAAGAAAGAAGTTGAACTTGTACATAACCACAAATAACTGATTCATTATAAACTGGAAATCCTGGGATTGTCTTCTGCTATCACCAATTGATGTTTGCAGGGCATCTGCAACTGACTTTAAATTAGCTCCTTCAGGAATGAAACCGAGAGAGAGGAAATCCTTTGCCAAACTCTTTGAAATTGTAGCTTCATAATCTCCAGTAGATACCCTTTCTAAATTAGCTTGAAGCATGAAACCTTTCAACTCCAGATCTCTTGGCCATTTCAACTTCTGAAATAAACTATCTTCCTGCTTATCTTTGAACAACTCCTTGCCTGTTTCATGACGCTCATTCATTTTCACCTGTAGGTCATCCCAGTGCATCACATCACATAAATCTTGCATGGCCTTAGCTGCACCTTTTTTCTGCTACTGTAAATCCTCTTCTTTTAATAAGAGGTGTTTGGGCATTAACTGGTAGTTCATGGGTTTAGAAGTGTATGGTGAGAACTCCACAGCTTTAGAAGTACAGTAAACACCTTCGAAAATACAGAATGAGCTGTATCTTTCTCTGAATGTTCTGAAGGAATCCTGATGATACTACCGGTGCTGTTATCCATTAAAATAATGTGTCCATCTCTGGTCCCGAACAGAGTAAATCCTTCCCCACTTTTGTATGAGGTTCCACCTTCCGGGTTCCCCGTGCTTTGATTAATATCCAAAGGTGCCTTAACAGAAAGTGAGCTGTCCGGAGATCTTGAGCTAGAAAGACCAGCACCACTTGGAGGAAGGGAAACTTTAATTTTTGTTTCAGTGATCAATTGAAATCTTGTTTCCTCAGAGCCAGAGCTGCTGCCAAACATGTAATCCTCAGATACAGTAGCCAACGTAAGTGATAAAACTGGACAAAATCACCTGAGTTTCCCAGGGTAGACAAGTCTACTTGTTCAAGTGGTAGGCTGAGAATAGCATCTGATAAAGGGAGTCAATAAGGAGATTTGAACACAAATCAATGAACCGGGTGCACATTGTGGCATGGCTTCTGGTGAGAGATCACAAAGATGATATGTGAGATGCGCCAAAGATGAAAATTTAGCCGCAAAGTACCATTCCACCTAGGTAACTGCTGGAAAAAGAAAAACTGTGTCGGAATCAAGAACGTCCTAGGAAAGAGGTTACAGTACAATGTAGAATATGAGACAAAACTTATTAATCTATATATCTAAATAGAAGCCCCCTTTTATAGTAGTGGATATACAACATGGGGTAAGCCCAGTATCATTAGGGTTACTCCTATACATCTCAACTTGTCATTTATTGAGATATATAACTGTCATATGTCTATTTTACAGGTCCTAAATCTTTGTTGATCATATCACCACTTTGGGTTTATGGGGTAAAATTGATATTGATATGGAGCCTCCCAATATGCTTATTATGGTTTGCCAAATGTTATTGGGCTAAGAATGCCCCCAAGAATAACAGTTTTGTTTCTCGTTTGATCCCTTTGTTTTTCTCTTTCCGTTGTACTACCCACACTAAAATTGATTTAATTTCACATAACACTAATTTGATGCATCCTATACTATTTTAGGGCTTGTATGACGTGCCAACCGCTATTTTGTTTTTTAATTATATCATTAAATGCTATACTGCTTTGTCACTGTATTGCCAAACACCATACTACTTTTTAGTGGAATTATAAACGTCTTCAAATTACTTTAAACAGAATCTCATCCAAATGATCCCTAATATACTTGTCTGTTAATAAACAAGGATCAGGGACTTATTGCTGTAGTTTCTCAACAGTGCGTCCTGGTTATATGATCCATGTATTTGCTTTTCATGTGCTTGCAGAAGGGCCATGGCATTCCTGATTCTCTTATGCAAGAAGTTAGACATATATCACATGTTTTCTTTGATCAACCACATGACACAAAACTCAAGATTAAGCTCTCTGCAGCAACCGGATACAGGTTATTCTGATCATCTCTCTTTGATGTTGAAGTATGCAAGTTATTCCTGTTGTCTTCACTACCAAATCGGTTTTATAATGCTTTGCAGAGGGTATCAGTGGGTTGGACAAAATATAACCAAAGGCGAGCCTGACATGCATGAAGCTATTGATGTATGTTTTGTCAAGTACTTTTTTGTCATCAGCATCATTATGAATACCTTAATCCCAAACAGTCAAGGTCAGTGGCATTAAGTTTATAGTGTTAATTAATTCTGTAAAAAATTTTAACACTATAAATTCATGCCAAAAGGCATAGCTTTATGTTTTAGACTAGCTGACTAGATGACCTTTCTGTCAAGACTCACAACCTCATAAGAGGAAATAAAGAGATGGAAATTTTGAAGCCATAATCATCATACATTGTTCCCGTTATGTATGGAATATATTATGAGGTGCCAAGATATTTGCTATTGCCTTGTCCATGATTGATATTGCAAAAGGAACAATCAAATCATGAATCATGATTGCAAGTCTGCAAGTGCTTTCTTGTCCACTCTTTTTTTCCCTTTTCTGGTTGGAAAATGGGTCCTTCCAAGAGCCTCATTTTTTATCTTGGTTTAAATAATTTCATTTTTGTCTTGGGCCTTATCTGCTTTGTTCGCATTTTCAGTGTCTGGCTCAACACACATTTGTTGAAATGTTGATATTTTATACATAAGATGTGTAAAAGTGGGTCCACACATGCTAATGTTCTCAAAGATGGTTATGTTGCTAATTTATACTTCCTCTATCCCTGAAAGATTTGCCAATTTTGATTCACATGTAGATTTAGAAAATGAAAAATTTGTGGTTGAGATTTATCTTGAAGAGAAAAATGATATGGACCACAATTTATTTCTTAGAGGTACAAGTTTTTTGGGACAACTAAATCAGGAAAGTTGGTAAACCTTTTGGGGTGGAGGAAGTATGCACTTGTCAAGAGTCCTTATGCTCTGGAAGTCATAATTAAAATTATTGTAAGTGTCTTCTGTAGTTCACAGAACTAATTTGTTTTGCTGATCATTAATATTTTTCTTTTTCAAATTTTATGCTTTGGAATAGTGCTACAAAGAAGTGAAAGATGGAATGTACGGAGGTCATGGAGAAGTTATGAAAGGATCTAACAAATGGTATGCCCACAAGATAATTACTCTCCATTGTGTCGGTCCTAATGTCCTATGTATGATCACTTATTAATAGGAAAAAGTCAATTTTGATATTCTCCCTTAATTTTGAGAGAGACATGGATTTTAAATGGATATAGTTAAGTATCTTGGACACAGATTAGGGCTGAAGTGCCATTTTTGTTGCACCTTTTTGTCTGTTTCCTGTTGAACCTGTGAATGAAAGTAGCGTAGTACTACTTCTACATTTCTTTTTTATTTCTCCGGTAAGACTGATAGAAGGAGAGAGGACAAAAGAGGAAGAAAACCACATTTATGCTCTCCATTCTGCAGGCCTGGTAACCCCCCAGATTTTGCAAGACTGATGGAGGAATACATCAACTTTTGTACAGGTGACTTAATTTTCGTGATTTGTTTATTCCTTGATGCTAGACTGGGGCAATTGGGTCAGTTGACCATCCTGACCTCACTAAACTGTTTTTGGGCCTGTAATTCAAGTAGAGCCTGCCACAGTCCTGGCTAGTTATGGTGGCCTGGTCTGCCTGGACATTCTACCATTATACCTATAGTCCTATACGCCCTTGGCGCATGGCAATTCCCATTCGCAGGCATAAAGTTCTTTTTCCTGTCATTGTATATTTTATAATGAAAGTTTTGTTTGCTGGTTAGGACTTTGAAGGTAGACAGTTGACTGTTACGACTACTAAGATATGTTAAAAATGGGGAATCAGAATTAAAGAAACCAGAGAATCAGAGTTTAATTTTGTTAGTGTAGTACTAGCAGTAGCGTAAACAATCTGAAAAAGGAAAAGTTATTCGAAGTATTAAAGATAGGCAATACCTGGTTTTGTAGGGGAGGGGAAGGGGATAAGGACCACTCCAACAGGGCAATGTCAGTTACAAATGGTGGCGTTGGAAAGCACTAGCAGTGGCTGCTCGCTTGCCACTGAAAATAAATTACTGAACAAAGTGGTCATAAATTACTAAACCCTACCCCCTACCTTCAAGTTATATATATACATCCTGTTGATAACAAATACCTTAAGTTACTGTGCTTAAACATTCCCAGAATCATATAGAGGAGTTTGATCATGATTTTCAAATCATAAAATTCACACATTATTAAGTAAATGTAGTGAATTAAAAATTCACTGGTAATATATAGTTCTGGCAGACATTCATCATAAACATTCACCATGCACGTTGGTGTAAAATGCGGTACTAATGTATAAATCCCGCAGTCTCTCGCACACTGACACACATGCTATTGCAATGTTAAATGTATTTTCTTTTGTAACACAGATTTATCAAGAAAGATAATGAGGGGAATTGCTCTAGCATTGGGCGGATCAGTCGATGAAATTGAAAGGGAAAAAGCTGGAGACCCATTTTGGGTTCTACGCATTATAGGTTATCCTGGGGCATCTTCCTCGAGTGGCCAGGATGTACAAAAAAATGATATTGGATGGTAATAGCCCCATACTATCCATTTCTTTTATTTAATTTTTTTCCTTGATAACCTTCATTACTTGTAGTCAGTAATCATCTTCTATCATTACTTTTTTGAACATGGAATAAACTAGCGGGGCTCATACAGACTATGGTAATATTTCTGCTCACCTGTTCATCAGGCATTATAATAAAAGATTTTACCACTCTACAGTAAATTAATTTTTTTTTTCATTTTGGATCATACAGGACTATTAACACTAGTTAATCAGGATGATGATATTACTGCCCTTCAGGTATTAACTGTCTGAGAGTTACTTTACACATGCTATATGACTTGCCAATTGCTATTAGGTATATGTTTTTGGTCCCTTATGGATATCACATTGCATCTATGTTATGAATGTTATCCCTATGTAGAATTAGAGTCATTTCTTATTTTACGGCAAATGGTTGCTTGGATTGCTAAAATGCGGGAGATATATTAAGTTTTCTGGGAATACGTAAAACGTGTTTTTGAAATCCAGGTCTGGATGGGAAACATGCTACGGACTTGTATACCTAGTGGCATAGGTTTTTTTTTGAAGGAGAATTTTTAGTGAATTTTTTTTTGAAGGAGAATTTTTAGGAGAATGTTAAAACATTTGAATAACTTGATAATACAATATCATTAAATATGTATATCCAGTAATACAATCACTTTACCCCACCGTAGGTGAGAGCCTTTGTGGCACTGGGGTAACGATGATTCAGTAATACAATTAGTAACCTAACAATTGATTATTTTTTATTAAAGGGAAAACTATCAAATAGGTCCTCGTACTATACCGTAAAAGTCAATTGAGTCCTTCTACTATTAAGACACCCAATTGAGTCCTTCAACTATAAAAATACACCCAATTGTCATTCTTAGCCGGTTGGTCAAAAATTTCACCGCCAATCACCGGTATTAGCTGACATGTCATTTTCTTTTTTCTTTTTTCCTTTTCTTCCATTCTTTCTTTCTTCTCCCTCTCCACGCCTCGACCCATACGCCTGCAACTCTTTCTTTTTTCTATTTCTTTCTTCTTTCACTCCATGATTTTCTTCTTCACCAAAGCAACCAACAAACAGATCCAAGCCCCATTGGTCATTTCCCTCCTTTCTTCTGCAAAGGCACCCAACTCACAACATCTTGACTGCTGCGGTGGTGGATGAACACGAAGATAAGATCGCCGGTAAACTTGGGGATTCAACAGAGAACTTCAACAACCTTCGACGGAAGATGGGTTCCAAGACCTCCAGTGACCTCGCAGCAACCACACCTCCATTTTCGGGCGACATTGCAACAGCCACACCTCCATTTTCCGGCGACATTGAAGCAGCCACCACACCATCATCAACAAGTTTTTGCAGCAGCAGAGAGAATCGGCTGGATGAGGAAGAAGAGGGCCGAAGAGCAGTGAATCCATGCTTAACGTCGTCGGCACACCACGCATCAGAGAAGGAGATCTGCGGCAGCAGTGCAACACCCATGGCCCATGTCGTCTCTTGCGGCACTGCTCCTTTGTACTCATTGAAGGTCCGAAGATGAAGAATGTCAATTTTGTTTTAATTTGATTGGGTGGGGTGGAAGAAAGAAGGAAGGGGAATAAAGAAAACCAAACAGAAGTTGGCAAGTTGCAGCCTGCAGGGGCTTGGGCGGAAGAAGACGGTCTAGGAAAGAGAATGGGAAAAAAAGAAAAACAAAAAAAGATGGGAAAAAGAGTAAAATTTGCCACGTGGATTGACATGTGTGTAAGTTAACTTGTAAACCGGTTGCTTACAAGTTAAAATACCTAATTGAGTGTTTTTTAAAAGTTATAGGATTTGATTGAGTTATTTTATAGTACGAGGACTTAATTGGCTTTTTTGATATAGTACGAGAACCTATTTGATAGTTTTCCCTTTATTAAATTAAATAGTAAACACCTTACCAACTATAAATTTATATATTTTAGCACACATTATCCCATTCAATCAAACCCACAAACCTTCTTAAACGATAAATTAAATCAGTTAATTTGTACTTCTTGAAAAATATTATTGTGATCTGGTTCTAAAATAAGTATAATTCATATACTCTATTGTTTATCCCCAGTCCCCACCAACAAATTCTTTTTGAATTATTTGTGTTTTCCTATTTACGAGAAGAACTAAACCATCTAAAAAATAAATATGCAACATGTATTCCACTAAAAACAAATAACTCAACATCCCATCAACAATTTCCCTTTAAAAGACACTACGCCAATAGGTATACAAGTGCGTAGCATGTTTTTTAAATTATAAAAACCACTTTTTGGATTCCAGGAAACATGTTTTTTTTGCTTCCTAGGTTGACCTAATATTTTCGGATTCCAGAAACACGTTTACGTATTCTCAGAAAACAAGAAGTATCTCCCCCATTTGGGAATCCATGCAACTCTTTCCCGGTATAATAAGAAATGACCCAAAACTATAGCCGCTTTTCTGGATTGGTTGTTATTGTGATGAGCATTTGTAGGTAAAAAACCGATCTGGTGAGTGGATATCAGCACCACCAATCCCTGGCACATTTGTTTGCAATATTGGCGATATGCTACAGGTATTTTATTGTCTCCCGTATTCTCCTTTAGTTTCAACTCCTTGTATAGTTCGCTAAGAACTTTAAAGTGCTGGCAAATCTGCAGATCTTGTCAAATGGACTGTATGAATCCACCTTGCACCGAGTCATGAATAAGTCTCTAAAATACCGTGTTTCTGTGGCCTACTTTTACGAGGTCAGCTAATAGCTACCATCATTTTAATTATGGCTATGACGAAATATCCATTACCATTTCATATACTTGCATTTCCATATACAGCCAAATTTTGATGCTTTAATAGAGCCACTGGAAGTGTGTAAGCAGCAGACTGGTGGGCTGAGAAACTTTGAAGGAGCTGTTTATGGAAAGCATTTAGTTGATAAAGTCACAACCAACTTTGTGGCGTAATTTTAGTTTTGTCGTACTTCTAGTGGAGATGGGTGCTCTGAAAGCTAAGTCCTAATGGAGATGGGTTCTCTGAAGTCTGAAATTTGAGTTGGACTAGTTTATTATCAAGCTTCGTACAGTCCCTACTTATTGATGCATTAATTGAATGATACCTGGCGACCTTTGGATCTTTCGATGAAAGTATCAGAACTACAATATTACTCCGTACCTATGAATTGAGGATTGACATACTCCGTATGAAACTTATCAATTTATTGCATGTTGAATGATTGAAAACTTATCAATTTATGGCAGGTTGAATGATTAAAAAGTATCAACTCAATAACTCAATTTGTGAGATGCACTTTTCTGTAGGTAATATCCAGAAAATATGAATATCTTCCTATATTACATACTACTAACTTTCTACCTTCTTACTTTATCTCTTTATTTATCATTTCACTCTTTACTATAAAACTATATTCATTTTAGGAAAAATAGAAACTAATAATCCAACCTTTTAGTGGTCTTCTTTTAATAGTCCCACCTTTTCGTTATTCATGAATAATCCAACATTTGCACCTCATCTTCATTCACTGGTCCCTGACCGGTTGATGACCTGCTATTCCAAGTTATTTTCTTATCTTTGCAAAATATTATCTTTGTGAAAGGTGGAATTTATGGTATAATAGTTTGCAGAGATGAGAAAATAACTCGGAATAGCTGGTCATCAACCGGTCGGGGACCAATGAATGAAGATGAGGTGCAAAGGTTGGATTATTCATGAATAACGAAAAGGTCGGACTATTAAAAGAAGACCGCTAAAAGGTTGGATTATTAGTTTCCATTTTCCCTTCATTTTATCCTTTCTTATTTCATTCTTACTTTTCTTTTTCTTATTATCTTTCTTCTATTTTTGACATTGATATCATGGATCGATTCATGTTAGTCAATCCCAACTTTTTTATTATTATTAAGGCATAATGTTGTTATTGTTGTTTTTTGGAGGTTAGAATTATAAAGTAATCACTTTATTGTTTATTTTCTTAAAATACACTAGGACATATAGATGCGTATGTACGGAGTATATTATAATGGACGGAGGTAGTATGAATTTGGGTAGTATGAATTTGGTTTTGTTTTTTAACAGTATTTGGAGTAAATTCTTCCCTGAACTCAATAATCAATATGTTACCCGAATACCCGTGAAGGAATATTGATTAAAACTTAACACAAGAATGATTAAGAATTAAAGGGAAATTTATGTGGTAACCCCTTGGCCCGGGGTATCCCCTAGACCCATACTACTTACACTTTATTCTTATGTCTCATTTGCTTTTGCACGTAAACTAAAACAATTATTGTACACTTTATAAAACACTCCTTTCGTCCAAACTGAATTTCAAAAATGACTTTTTGGGTCAAACGGACTCATTGTAATCACTTAATTAAGATATAATGCTTAATTAAATTTTAATTTAGATTTTGTAATTTTATAAAGATTTTAATGTAGCTTCTGAATATGTAATTTTTTAATTATTAAAATTGAATTAATTATGAACATGGAGGATTTAATTTTAACATTCGTTGACCAAAAAATGTTGACTTTGCAAAATAATTAGACAAAGGTAGTAAGAGGTTAGCTGTTTTTAGGATGAGTTTCTTCCAAAAAAATGAAAATGAGACAATTAACTTGATGCATCCCAAAAAGAAAAGTAAGACAAATAAAGTGATACTGAGGGAGTATGAGAGAACCTATATGTAATTACGGCTTTGTTTGCAACCACTTGTGGTTAAATAATTTTTTTTTTGGGAAAACGTGATTAGTAGTAAAAGTTGGTAGTGTTTGGTAAAATAAGTGCTTTTTGTGTAATAGAAAAGGTAAAAAGTAGATTCTACACGAAAACCAAGATAGTAAAAGTTGGTAGTGTTTGGAAAAATAAGTACTTTTTTCTTATAAAAAAAGCCAAAAGCACTTATCAACAGATTGCAAACAGAGCCTACATACCTCAACTATTTGTACATAAAGATATATTTGTTCTAATTTTACAATTTTATGTTTAATTGGTCCAAATGAAAGTTGAATAGTATATTCATTATCTAAATACAATTGGAGAGAGTATTTGCATTACCGAATTGGAAATAGCTCTTCCAAATTCGTCAGAGGTTTCTCATAAACGTGAATGATGAGCTAAAAAATCAGTAAGTTTAAAACATTCTTTCCAAGTCAAATTTGTTAAAATGAAAATTCTAAAAATACCCAACTAATTTAAGAACTGCATATTGAAAAAGAAAAGCATTTATTTATTTTAGATGCTTTTTTGGTGTTTTTAAACTTAATAAAATTGTTAGAAGATGCACCAGCGCAACGATTCCTTACATATACACTTGTAATAAATCTTGTTTCATTTATAAGTATTTTAATTGTCAGTAGCTGAAGGGGGTGAATTATTTCGATTTTGAAGAAAATATCGGTTAATTGGCAAAAAAAAACAATGGGACTTTTTGACAATTCTCTATATCTACAAGCAAAAAAATACAATGGGACTTTTTGACAATTCTGATCTCTATATTTACAAGATTGTTTATGATGGAGTGACTGTGACTTTTCAAAGTTACCATGTTGAAATGACTATAATGTAAACATTGAACATAATTATACTTACTAAAAGTTACTAAATCACATTTTTATTTGTAACTTTTTTATTAGTAATATTTTAGAAAGATCTCTGTATACATTTCACTTATTTAGAGAAAATTAATACATGTATGACTAAAAGCAACACGGTTTCCCGATGTATGATTTGGGTAGTTTTTCCCTAAAATTAAATGATGCATAAATGACATGCCATCTTGTAAATGTAACCGTTGCAATAAAATACCCAGTATATGGTAAGCATGTACATCCTTTGCTAGTCATATAATCATAAATAAACTTTTTAAGTCATATTATGGGAAACTGGACATGTTTTGTTTTTCCCGTAAATGAGAATTTTTCACCATCATTTATTAGAAATTGTCCTAAACATGAGTAAACGTTTTGAAATTCGAAAAATAAGACTTTCATGTTTTTATTCCCTAAATAGGAGCGATTCTGTCAAGTTTGGGGGGAAATGTCATGTTTAAAGCCTGGGATAATACCAAACTTGGTAGAAATTTACTCCTACTCGGGAAATAAAAAACATGATAATTCTATTTTGGAATTTCAAAACTTTTTTACTTCAATTTAGGGAATTATCTTTTCATTTATTCAGAAATAATTTAGAATTGGGACAGTGCGTTTTTATGGTGGGTAGAATGCGTTTAAAAGTGGTAATTAGAGTATTTAAATCAGCAAAAGTTGATAAAAAAACAAGAGCAAGTGTCTAAATTAAATTCCAAAAATATGATTAAAAAGTTGTGATTGGAGAAAAATGCCCTTTTAAGGTCATCAAGGAGATCGAGCCGCCGCCAGGCCACCACCGACCATCGCCGGACCTCCTTCTTTGCCGTTGCTACGGACAGCTCCACGGAGCAGTCTCCACTCTCCAGTCTCCACTATACCATATCTAGTGGGATTAGTAAACACTAGACACATAACACATTAAGGCGAAACCCTAAGGGAATGATATACGTACTCAAAACCTTAGCCCTAAAATGTAAGGAGTATAAAGTGATTGGAGCTAGCACCTAAATTTAGAATCATGGACTAAAACCTTCACAAAGTGTTCAAATAGGATCAATTATATACGATAGTATTTTTATTCTTGAAATAGGGTTTATTATTTGATCGTATTTAAAGTATAAAACTTCTCTAGTTAGATGTAAATGAGTCCTATTTTAAGAAGAAAAATAATGGTGATTCTATTTGGGCAATTAATTCATATTTTAATCTGATTTAATGAATTCTCACAAATATGTACTCATACTTTGACACTTTTATAATGAATAAAATTCACTTTTGATCCTACGAGTATCGCACCAATTCCATAGATAGTTCAAGTCTTCGACATGAGCCACTTTAGATATATGACTATTAAGTTTTCGTCCATACATGATCTTTCCACTGATATTTCCGGTGGTTAAAATCGCCGGACGACCACAAACAGTCAAGAATCATTAATCAAGTAGGAAAACAAGGTGAAATACGTGAATTAAATGTTAAATTTGCATAAATTTCATACTATAGGAAGTGAGATTTATACCTTTTACTTCTTATAATATAGGATCCGAGTATAATTTGCTTCTATTTGGGGCAATTTGTTTATTCAAATTATACTTTATTGTACAGCTTCCATAGCCAGATAGCAACCACCCCTAAGAGCATCTCCAATGCAAAAACGTGAACAATGCATACGTGGCATGAATGATAGCCAATTAAAAAATAACAAATAGAATATCTCTCTCCTTATTTGAACGGTCTTATATGTTTTTGGTAAGTTTTTCTCCACAATGTCAAGCACAATGTCAAGATGTAGACACCGTGGTTGACATTGCAGAGAAAAACTTACCAAAAACACATAAAACCGTGGAAAGAAGGAGAGAGAAACGTCAAAAATTTAATTTCTTGTGTCTATTTCTCTCATGCCACATATGCACCGTGCACATTGTAGCATTGGAGATGCTCTAAGGCAGCCGCAAGTACCATGCAGCCACCACCACAAATGCTGGCCGTTGGAAAGTCTCTGCCGAACCTCTAGCTACCATCACAAAGTCGCCCACAACCCGCTAACCCTAGCTATAAATGCTAAACCTAAACCATCCTATGTCCCTAAACAATAACGCTAAAGTAGTTTAGGCTAAAGTTATCTCTTTGGAAAAGTCTTAATTGCTTAAGGATCGAATAAATAAAGCCCACCCTGTCCTAGCTAGACTCCTAGCTAGCTATGTTTTGAAACATGAACATGGTAGCAAGGTTTTAAAAGTAGTTCTCCTAGAAATGGTTCAATATAGAATTAAAACTTACACAAAGTTTAATAATAAGACTAAGTACATAGCAGGGACTATGTTTTATTTCTCAAATAAGACTTATTTAATTCTATTAAAAGAATAAGTTGATTAAAATTTCCCAGAGTAGATCCGTTTAGAGAATTTTCTCTAGTTCTTGAATAGTCAGTCAAACATCATAAAGTCAAAATCATATGAAATGGAAGGAGTAGTGTACAAAGAAACACAAAGAACTGAACAAGACAGTAAATTAGAAATGATGATGATGATGTTCTTGCATACTTCGTACGTCGGTAGCCGGTAGGGCTTCAGCAAAATCTTGGAGGAAAGATCAGAAGATGAATAATATAATGGCAAACAAACACTGATAAGAAGCTATGATCACGTACTTGTATGATGCATGAATGTCAACTATAAGCTCGATCACCATGCAGATCGATTCACAAATATTACCTCCGTCCCAAAAAATGTTCGTCATATTGATATTCTTAGTATGACAAACTTTGGGCAATGATTTTGATTATTATATTTGTATATGATTTATAAAGTTTATACTTTAATGAAAATATTTTGAATAAGAAACATTTTAATATAATTTTCATATTCAAAATAATTTCGTATTAAAAAATATCAATTTGACGAACCTCTTTCGGGACGGAGGGAGCCCGGAGTATATATATCAATGGTGCCTGTGTACACTATTGAGGGCTTTATAAGTTCTTGAGGACTTCCTCTTGGACTTGCGGGGACGAAGACGATGATCGGCCACCGCCTCCACCGCCTCTTCCGCCACCATTTTCGGAACTTCGACAATCTGGCAAGGCACTTGCAGCATGGATCTCGGGTCGGGGCATTTCCTGGGCTGCACGAAGAACCTCTTACACTCCTCTGCACTTCTCTGGTTCGGAAGATCCAAAATGCAGTTATTCTGTACATCAAGGACCTTCTTCTCCAGCAACAGCCTGCATTCTGGTCCGATCTGTGTGAAGTAGTTCCCGCTCAGGATCAGCTCCTCCAGACCCTTCACCTTGCACAGAGATTCTGGAACCGTCCCATAAAGCTCATTGCTTTTCAGGTTTAGAATCTTCAGATTCTTGAGACATCCCAAGGATTGAGGAAGTGGGCCCGTCAACGTGTTGATACTGGCGTCGAAAACGCTCACGTTTTTCAGCAGCCCGATTTCGTAGGGAAGACAGCCCGACAGCTTATTGTTCAATAGAAGAATCTCAGTTAAGGTTGCCGCCGCATTTCCGATGCTCTTCGGAATCGGACCGGTGAGTTTGTTGTTCGCCAACGACAGGAAATAGGCCGGCGTCTTCCCGAGGGTCTCCGGGATCGAACCGTTGAACCCATTGTTGTTCAGAAACAGAGCATCTAGGTCCAACGTGAATACCCTGTCGGGAATGGGCCCCACCAGGGAGTTGTACCGGAGATCCAAGAATGTCAAGTTGGTGGCCTCAAGAAGGGCGGCGGGGAACTCTCCGGCGAGCTTGTTGTTGCTCAAATCCAGCTCGAACAGGGTGGGGAGAGCGGCGGTGGAAACCGCAAGCGGGGATTCCCCGGCGGTGAAATTGTTGGAATTGACGTGGATTACGGCCAGGTCCGGCAGAGAGTCAATGAACCCATTCAGAGAGAGGTGGGTCCCGTCGAGGTTAAACCCGTTGAAGTTGATCCCGCCGACTCTCAGCCGTGTACTGCCGTCAGGGGAGTAGCAGTGGAACCCTTTGTAGGTCTCTGAGTTGAAGCAGAGCTCGTCTCCGGTCCAGGTTTTGGTGAACCCGTTCGGGTCATTTGTGATTAGCTGCTTGAATTGGGATATGGCTGTGATGGACTTTCTGATGACCGGATCCAACGGCGGTAACATACAGCCGCATTTAGCGTTGTATGTAGAGGTGGGGGTTTCCGATGGTCCTCCGTCGCCGAGAGTGACTTCTGATGAGGATTGTGCTGGGGCTGAAGGAGAAGTGGCCGAAGAAGAAGTGACTTGGTGAAGGAGGGGGAGAAAGGAGAAGAAAAGTATGAAGAAAAAGAGATGAGAGGATGAAGATGGTGCAAATGAGAAGTATTTGCAGGCCATTCTCGTGTCTTGTATTTAGCTCCGGCCTAGCTCCAGTCTTTTTTCCTGAACGCAAGTTGAATAGAGTGGAGGACCAATGCATTTATAGGAGACTTTTCATTTAGAGAATACGGAGTATATATATATAGACTTAAAAGTAAAGTCATGACTCATGATAATTCCAAAATGAGACATTACTTAGTGATATCCTTTGTCTTTTTTTAATAAGGTATGGTTGCAACCGTTTTACTTTCATATTTGCTAACGCACAATTTCGAAGTATATATTCTCTCCGATTCTGATTCTTCTTTACACTTTCCTTTTTGGGCTGTCTCAGAATCATCTTTACACTTCCTTATTTACCTTATTTGGCAAAAAAATCTACATAAAACAGTGTCAAACAGTGTCCAAACAGTGCCAAACAGTGTCCAAACAGTGCCAAACAGTGTGCTCTACAATAAAGTCAAATTTAGTTTCTTAAAACATGTGAAGTCAAAGTGTAAAGAAGAATCACAACCGGAGGGAGTATTAGTAAAAAAATCGTGGTTAAAGTAAAATGTGTGAATATGGCAAAAATCACAGTTTTGCAACAACTAAAGAACGAAAGAAATATTATATTATGCATTAACAAATATGGAGTAATGAAAAGAAAACACATGATGATATTCATACATGTCATATGTCATTATATTAGGGGGGAAAGTATGGCATTCCTTCTCTGAGACCCCAACATCGTTCAAACAATTAATTGAGAGGATGTAATTAAGTTGGATTTTAATCACAGACTGATAGATAGTGAGTGAAACAAGTACTTGCAGAGGCCTTATACTAGAGCATAGTAACGTGTAGTCACAGTTGTCAGGATCGATCTTGATATATACCCTTTATAGCACTCCTTATCTATCAGCTGAGCTAGGCCCATCGGCATATTATAAGGAAAAAAGAAGACAATTTTTATAGGGTCCTTCTCAATGTTTCATACTCTGGGTAATTTCGTTCTCTTGAAGTTAATAGCCTCTCCATCTCTTATAACTCAAAATTGTTATATGTTTTTCTTTAATCAATTAGAATATCTTTTGGACTTGTTACGTAGACAATAGTTAATCACGCTTAAAATGTATTTATACCGGAGTAGACCATGCCAAATATAAACACAATAAATTAGTAGTATATCAGACTAGTCAAACCAAATCAAATAAGGTTAGAAATTAGCAATCAAAATAAAATCTACTTCTCCCGTTTCACTAAAATTGTTTAATCTTTAATTTCTTTTCGATCTGCCACATTAAGATTGTCTCATACCAAATTTGTTAAACTTGTGTGGTTGATTTAAATCATTATCTTACTTCATCGAATTAATACCAACTATACAAGTTCACTTTTCTTAATGATGGTCCCGAAGGAGACAATACATTATTACTTTTCCATTTTCTACCCAAATCTCACACCCATTTTTGTTATTATTATAGACAAAAATGATCTTTGTAAAAGTCAATCTATAGAAAAGTCAATCTTGGTAAAATTATACGATTAAGGAATAAAGAAGTTTGAAGTTCGAAGTGATGGATAATTTGATCCTTTGATTGAATTGGAATTGTTTGTAGCTGCCAGCCACATGTCACTGTCTATACTATGCATGCCCATGCCCACCAATTAATAATGTGAAGTACAATTTTAATGAGGCCGTTGGAGATGCTTTAGCTGCAGTTATTATATGCATGTTATGTTATTAGTTGGTTGGAGTACTATACGCCTTCTACGCTGTGTGATGTCGATCATATGGGATATATGGTTCGGATCTTAGTTTTCATTTTACATTAATATCGTTTTGACTAAATTAATTTAAACTAATTAACAATGGTGAAATGTGACACCACTGTTTTCTTTAATTCCGGAACAACTTATATCAATATACAGAAAATTGACTCAAAAATAACTTAATAAGTAAGAAAATTAAGGTCTTAAATTAAGTAAAAAATTGTGCATGGAGAAAATATCCCTATTATTAACTCCGTCATTTTTTCGTTAGCCATCTTTGATTTTTTAAGTAAATGATCATTAACTTTGATCAATCATTTTAACTGATACATTTATGCGAAGCTGGTAAATTTTATACTTTAATGACAGTATTATAGGGTACGCTTTATGGGTGACCTATGCTCAATGTATTGAGGAGAATAGGAGTAGTAAAGAGGAATCATATTTGTGTATTCTCTCACCTTTTCATATGCACGTTGTGTCCCAATGTGAATAAAAAGTAACCAAGCAAAGTTCTCTATTAATTCATATATTATATGTGTCATATTTGTGGGCAAAACTAAAGTAAAACATTGAAACGAGTTCATGTGATTAGTTCAAGGGCGGTAGCTTTTTATCGGCAGTTTGGTCTGATGAAACTGGACCTTAGACATTAGAGACTAACACAATTCATGCAATGCTATTCAAAATCCTAGAGCAATGACTTTGTGGAATGGTGTCCACATGGGTTTACCCGGCCCACGACTTTGTTTGTGTTGATTGAATACAGTCGACTTTATAGAGTTTTTAATAAAAAGTTTATTATAAGAAGTTTAATGAGTAAACACAAGCTAAGATCAATAAGCTAAGTGTTAGTGTTTGATAGGAGCTCAGAGTTCAGAGCTAGTTCAATTGAAACGGTCCAGCACACAATTACATGATACGAAAAGTAAATAAACAAACTAATTCTTACATACATACCTACATACATTATTATTAATTCTCCCTAGATAAAACGTTTTAGATTCATGTTTTCCACTTTGCGTGTCTAAAGTTTGAAATATAGTCAATTAGTCATCAGTTTCCACGCACCTTTTTTATTATTTAGCTAAACATGAAGTTCACTTGAGATTTGTTTCAATGTATTTACTTTAGAGCATTCTTTATTCTTATATTGAACTCTAACATCTATAACAGCGCGTCTTGTTTGCTAATAATATATACTACATCCGTCCCACTAACATTGGGACAAGAATGTGTGACACAATTAATAAGAAAATTGAGTTTATGTGGTAGATATTGAATTGATAAAGTAAGAACAAGTAGGAATGATTTAGAGTCACACAAACTTCACCAAATTTGTATGAGCCAATCTTAGTGACATTTCCCTGAAAATAAAAAATGAGACAAACATAACAAGACGGAGGGAGTAAGTAAGAAGAAATTATGAGATTGTTATAATTGAAATGATAAAAGTACATATATAACCATAATATTAGCATATAACGATGTTGTCATTAACCAATTTCCACAAATTGAGAAGCTTTTTTGTAATTTGCAAATTGTTAGCAAATGGTAATAGTCGATGATAAATTTTTGGTTTTTCTGCCATTCAACGGATTTCAGCACTAGGTAAGTTTACGATGACTCTTTTATTCCAGGTTTTTCACTTTTTTCATTATCAACGTGTTCCTTTTCCAATTGTAACCTCCTACAATGTGAAATTTGATTCACTAAAAATATAGTAACCTTTTGAACATATATACTACGTACATGATTTTTAAGAGTAGAGATTTTTAATTGAGCCTTTTTAAAGTAGGGAAGCATAATCAACAATTTATTTGTACAAAAAACTACGATGCACTTCGCTTCTCGTACACTTGAGCGTGACTACGTGAGAATGTGAGATGGTGCAAGTGTACAACCGAACTCTTCCAAATACGGGCGAGTAGCAAAACCTTTTCTCACTAAAAAGCCAAAATTATAGTGGCCTGTGAAGGCTATGATTACTAGTGTCAATCCTAAAAACTTTTATAATTAAATGGAACTTGGAAAAATACACACATATGTATATAATGTATTTATTTTTTGAACAACACAACTACACAAGTAAAACTTAAATACTACTCCGTATCTATTTAGTATTAACACAAATTACTCTATATAATTGTGTTTTAGCCAACACAAGTTATAAATGATAACTTCTATGGTCTTTTACTCCAATTGTTACTAGTGAATGCACCCATATCCCATGCGTTGCGCACTTGCGCAAATGAGTTCTTATGGACGGGTGGATATGGACATGTGGTTAGGCATGTTTTTGTGAACTGGATCAGGTCCGCCCACATCAATGTACAGAAAATTTAGAAAGAGTCCGGCCTAAGCCTGTTTATGTGGAGGACTCCAAAATAATAGTAAGGATAACCATAAAGTTTGGGTTCCAAAACTGACCAAATTTATGGCATTTCCTCATAAAATCACGATCCTTATTATGGGCATCACTTTTCAGTCCAAGGATGTTTTCAGACTACTTTCAATCCTATTATACTAGATCAAACCAAATCCGACCAAATAAAACCAAACTAGATCATATCAGACTTATTAAATAAATTAGACCGGTTCAGATTTCAATAATTGTAAAATACACAAAAATGAGACATCTATGTACCAGATCAGGGACTTAAATACACCAGATTAGGCCAAACCAAATAGAACTGAAAAATTCAATCCAGTTAAAATCATCCTAACCTACCTAATTCCATGCCATTGTTTCATCAGTCATCACTGCTAATTATCATATCATGCAGTAGTACTTTATTATATATCCGCCACACATGCAATAAGATTCTTGAATTGTAGCATATATACAAACGTGATACGTGCAAACATATTATCCTTTGACCAACATCATCCATCATTTAAGAATGGCAGATTGATCTCCGCAAATTTGTGAACTGAAACAATGAAGTCGTGGGTAGAGGCAGTACCGATGAATATTTTGACACCACACAGTTGCCGCTGACAGCAGAACAAGGGTATACAACTACACACCCATGCTTATGCTGGGCCTATCATGGCTCCATTAATAAAGGGCACTGTTTACTTTTGTATTCAGCCCAAATCATAAATGAGGATTCTCTTAAATTTTATTTACACTACTAGAAAACCGACTTTTAGCAACGAAAAGTATGGTCGTTATAGGCTTAAAGGTTCGTCGTTAAAACTTTTAACGACAATTTATTTTTCGTCGTCATCAAGTGGTTGTTATAGGCTCCGTCGTTATTGGTTTTAACGACAAAGTTCATCGTTATTGGTTTTAACGACAGAGTTCGTCGTTATTGGTTTTAACGACAAAGTTCATCGTTAATGATTAACGACGACACAATACTCATCGTTACTTATAAACAACAAATAACTCACTCATCATTACTT